GTATGGCAAATTAACTTTCCTAAATTTTATCTGCTGGACGTACCTTTATACAAATCGATCTTCACGGTGAAAGACAGTAAGTTCAGTTTTCATCGTGAAGATCGATTTGTATAAAGGTACGTCCAGCAGATAAAATTTAGGAAAGTTAATTTGCTATACTTTTGTTGCTAAACTGCATTTTGGAAAACTCTTCTTTATGGTGAAAAGTCAGAAATACCACTTATTTGGCTTATTTCTGATTTTGTACATCGTGCATCTTTCTTCCGAGATGACGAGTTGTTGATTAAACAACAGATGCTTCCTTCATATTCTGTCAAACGTATTTTCAAGAACTTGTGCAACATTTTCGGTTATGATCGGTTTCGGTTAACCGGTTAAAAACTGAAACCAGTGCATGCCGAGTATGGGGGTATACCCCATTATAATGTTCATTATGCGTCATACCTTGCCATCCTCGAGCTAATGAAAACGCTTTAGCTGGTCCATTATTAGAAAATTGTCCAAGAGCTAATTCCAAAAAATATATTGGTGCACCAATTAAGAAATATACTACAAAATATGGTATCAAAAATGCACCTATGTACAATTATAGTAAAGTATATTAGTATAAATTATTGAAAAGTACTTATTATCTTAATAGGATTACTACTTACCACCCCCATTTTGTGCAGCCAGAAATGGAAATCGCCACACATTTCCTAAACCAACGGAATTACTTATTAGTGAAAATACAAATTCTATCGGACGGTCCCATTCATGACTTTCCTCCTACATATAAAAAACAGTTAACATAGAACATAGTCAATAGATCGAACTATGCAAAATAGTTATGATCAAATATGCATACGTTTTTGTGCTCATCAACAACAGACGGAAGATCTGGTTTTGTTTTATTTTTACGCCAAAACTAGAATAATGAATGAAATAGAATAAACACATTTTGTATGGCAATAATAACAGATATGCTCATTTGAAAATTGTTTAGTTGAATAGATGTTAAACAAAAAGTTACTGATAGATGCTTTAGCATTAAATATAGAAATATCCCATTTTACTATAGGATGCTTTCAGGCAGCTCCGCCCAAATTTACATCCAGTTCAAGTCAGCAAAGTTCCGCTGTGCTTAGATTGTAGCCCGTATTGACATAGACAGGCTTACATCGAAAGATAATTGACAATTATCTTTCGAATGAGACGTCTTTGAGGCTTTTACCGCCTATGATTGCTGCAAAACTCGAATTTTAGTAATGTATGACGGTTTAGAAGCGACTTGTAGTACCCCGGTTCTGTACTGTCAATTACTTTGCCGAAAATCGCTCCATAAAGCTCAAAGACGTCTCATTCGAAAGATAACTGACTGCTCTATTTTATAAAAGCGTTGAAAAAAGTTTTGAAAAGTTGGATTTCTGGAGATATCCTAGAAAGCTGATTTTTCTAGATCTCAAATCTCAAGAGGTTCTCAAAGGTGCTATTTAAAATTAAAGTGTATTGACTTCACGAACAAAATTTGACGAAGATCTGACGTGGAGTTTTCAAGAAAAACGAGCTCGAGGTCGGGAATTTTTGTTCAGGGTCAACACCTTAAGAACCATATAACTCAAACTGAAAGCGAGCTGCAGGGTTTGTCTTTCTTCCATTAGATTGAATGCACACTGGGCTACATTTCAGCTATAGGCAAGTTGATATTATCTTACTTTTTGACCGCTCTACAGAGATTATAAAATCCCAGCAAAAGTCTTTCTTTGGCAAATTTTGTAAAGTTTGCCACAGAGTCACCTTGCCAGTTGTAACTCTTGAAAGTTAGTTCTTATAGACAAGTTTCTGACCTCTATCGAATGGCCGTCTCAGACTTTTAAGAAAAGTTTTCTTTAGGTCATTAGTGAGCGATCTCTAGTGGGGATTTTTAGCAAACCTGACTTTTGTGAGCCCGTGTCTGCGATGTAAATTTGGGCGCACCTGCCTGAAAACACCCCATACCGTCAGCTTAGGGTGATCATCAAAAACAAAAATCTATTGATTTTTCGCCTATAAAACAAAAGATTCTCATAATGAATTACTTAGGGCATACCAAAAGTAGTGGCGCCGATCCTATAATATTTTACAGAAGGCTTATGAAAAATGTTTTTCTATATATTCTGATAGCCCAAGTCGTGCTCTATAATTCTACAATATCGCCTC